ATCTGTCACTGTAGCTTTGCTCACAGTGAGATTCGAGGTGTTTGTGTGGTTTGGCAGGATGTACATTCTGTAAACTATGCAGCCTGTATGACTGATGTGCATTGTTTAACATATTTACCTCTGAGACAAGATTTGCCATTTCCTATTGTGTTTTTTTTCTTCTTTTTTTTCTAGTAAGTTGTTCTTCTAATCTTAACTGTTGGAATTGTCAGGCTATACTAATGAATGTTTTAAAGGCAGTAACACAATTAGAAATGTGCTGCATATGATAACAAATGGAAGAGAATAGATGTGCCTTATCAATAATGTTTTTTTTGTTTATTTGTTTTTTGTTTTTTTTAAAGCTGAACAAAAAAGAACTATGTTGTTCATTTTCCTGAGCATTATCTGTCAACACTGCCCTCATTCTCGCAGACAAAAACTCAACCTGATACCCTTTGTTCCACATATTCAGATTCCAGTTCTGTGTTAGTAACCTTTTGTTTGAGATGGATGCTGTCTACACCCACAAAGTATGTGGAAAGTTACTTTTTTCTCTCTCTTTTGACTCTTAAGCTTAGTTTGGAAGAAAAAAAAAATGTTTGAAATCGCACATAGTAATTTTTTTTTGGTTTTATTAGTCAGACTGTCAAGGGGTTGGTTTGAGAAGTACAGAAAGTTGAGAAGGCTTCTTGTCTGTTGATTATTTTGTTATTGATTCAAACTGAAGTCTTCACTGATTTGCCATGAGCCGGGTAGGGGGCCCGCTGAGGTGTCACGGCAGGGAGATGGCACTCCCATGTTGCTCTTCATCACAAAGCCTGGGCAGAATACCACATGTTTCTCTGTCTCCCAAAATTGAGGAAAAAATCAATTAAAAGGAGAAAATCACATCTGTCAAGCACATGGCAGACATGGCTCTTCTTCTGTCTTTGTTATAGACCTCCCATAGGCCTTTTAGAAAGGAGCGCAGTTTACTCAGATCATCTTTGAGACATCAGGTGACTCTCTCTCTTTTCTCCTTTATTTAACCCAGCTTAATAAAGACTTTATTGCTCTGAGAAAAGCTTTATCGATTGACGTGCCTCAGACTGTATCTTAAGGCTTCTTGGGCTTCTTTATCATTTTGACATTACTGTTGGGAATATGCTTCTCTTTGCTCTTAGCTCGTTTCATGAGGTACGGGTAAAATAGACGTGGTGGATGTTACAAGTTCAAGTCAAAGTTTAAAATGACAATCCAAGTTGACTTAATTTTCCTTTTTACACAATATGATATTTACTTTGTTTTTATTGTTGCCCAGAATACATTGCATGTGACTCAGAATGTGCACGGTCACTGATATTCATTATATCTTTAACATTGAAGCTTTTCAATAGCTTTCTTTTTTTTCTTTTTCACTACATTTGCAACAAATCCCCACGTACTGTTGTATTTTTTTATTTTTTATTTTTTTTACAACATGTAGTGTCATCAACTGTTTGGTTAAGTTTAGGGCTAATGCATGCCCAATCCCGCCCTTTAAACTCTATTAGCTTGGCATGGGTTTGTGGATGCCGTGAAACTGTGAACTTGATTCCCTGGAAGCTGGCTGACAGCAGCAGAGATCAAAGTACGGAAGTGAAAGCCCTACAGATACTGTCATCCTCTACAAATGTTTAGTGAACCGTAACCTGTATCTCATTACTTTTACACTCTCCTTTACCCTCTCAGCCTCTTGCGTTCCTCAAGTACAGACCTTCCTCAGTCTGGGTAGCATGGGTGGAATTATTCCATCAATATCTACTGCAGCTTTTTTAGGGGTTGTTGTTTACTGTGTATGCACCAAAATCATATAGTTCTAAATGACTGTGAGGGGGAAAACACCAGAATCAGCATTGCGAGTCTGTTTCTGAGTCCTTGACGTGACCTGCTGTCAGTAAATCTATAATAAATTGATTATTATGTGCAATAATATCCTAATTGCTAAACAACCATAAACAATTCACTGCAAATTAGTGTTATGGTTTTACTACAAATTAAAATTTCACACATGTTGACAAGCAGGCATGCGTTTTCACATGTTTTCGTCCCAATGGGAATTAATTGTACACAAGCTACTGGACTGTTGCTGTCCCAGGTCAATTGATTTATCTTTCATCTTCGTTGATGGATTGGGGCACATCGTTGAGTGATGGTTGAAAAACTGATTGGTTGAAAGATTTTTACAATCTGCATATCATCTGTACATAGGACTGTTGTTTCAATGTCGGGACTTAAATGAAATGAGCATTTTCCTCTCATATCAAATCTCAATACATACTTTCACACCATTTTCCTTAAAACCTTTGGTAAACCGTTATTCCCTATCCGCTTATTTGATATGTTCTTTTTTTGTCCCACATTCAGCCTACAGTTTGACATTGAGATGCTAGGCAGGATTTATGAGGTTTTAACCTGAACAACCATATTTGCTGTTTCCTCTGTTGTATCTTGGCACATGTGCTGATATGTAGCGCCTTCATCTTCGCCCAAGGCGGTAAATGAATGTGTAGTGTTGCTAGCATACTTCCAGTAATCTCTCCTTGACTGCTGTGTGTGTCTGGTGGCCTGTGGTGAGGAGTCTGGCCCAGCATCATCACCCAGTCTCCCACATTGCCACACATATGGTGCTGCCTTTGTGTCAATTGTACTCTGTGGGGTTTCTGATAATTAACAAGATGACAGACAAATGAAATGACAAGCGCAAGGTGGATTCAATTTTCCACTACCTTGTATTCTTTCCTCGTGTTTCAGTTGCGTTCAATTGTCACATTTTGAAATGTTTTAGATTGCTTTCGCCTTTTTAAAAAAAAAAAAATGTATTCCACCTATAATGTCATTACACGTTTTTCCACTTTGTGAACTTCAAACCCAACAAACAGTAGTAGTTATGTACGTTATATGTTGTGTGCTGCCTTTGATTTTCTGCTTAAGCACCGAAAACAAGTGCAGCTTTACTGAAGAAAGAAAGATGTGATATTAGTAATGGGTCCCTTTTTCCCCTTCATTTCTATACTGTGCCAAACCAGACTCAGCTCCAATGGAAAAGCATTGTAAAAGACTATTTAAAAAAATATACCTCTAATTGTTTGCCAGAGAAGCGCAGTCTCAATAATCGGATTTGCCACAGCATTAGCAATAACTATTGCAACGGGTGAATGATTTGCTTCTGCACTCATGTTGTTTTATTCAGAGCCAGTGATACATTGTCGGAGAACTTTGTTACTAATCCACCTGCTAATGTCAGGAGAAGAACTTTATTCACACTGTATTGTGCTCTCAGCTTCTCTCCCAGCACATCATTTTTTTTGTTCATTTGAAGTTGTACTTACACACACTTCAGTCTGAGTGGGATCAATCAGTGTGTTTGACTGAATCCAGATTGCTGAAAGCCTGTTAAACTGGCATTTTAGACTGTTAACAGACTTCCACCTGCACCTTGAGCATACATGTCTAAAGAAATAATCAAACTTATGTTAATTCCCTTTTGCCAATAAGTTATTAAATGATTATCAGGTATGGAACAGGGTTAGGAAGAGTTCCTTCCTTTAAGGTCATTGGTGAATTATTACTGTAGAATGTGTTGCCGGGAATTACAACGCTAAAAAGATACTCAGTCATCATTTAATTTCAAAGTAATCCTTGCAATCCCAATTACACAAATGTTTTTTTTTTTTACGTCATCAACCATTCTTTCTGCTTTTGCTGATATGATCAAAAGCCATCATTATTAAGGCACCAATGCTTGCCGCAGACCCTAATTGGGGCTTTGGCAAAAGCAAGCAACTTTTGATTTAATGGCTTCATACCAAACAGGACTGCATGGCTTGCATTATGGCTTATTTTTTATATTGCTGAATTCCCTGAGGGAAGGACAGAGATGTCATCATTAGTGGGCAGTGTTCTTTGGCTGTGTTGTCTGTGATGGGTGCTGAGGTCTATAGCATGGTCAGCCAGGCCTGTGGCCCAGCAGCAGTGTCTGCTCTCTGTTTCCCCTGTCTGGACTCCCATCTGGCCACGTGATCCTGCGCCAGTCTGCTCCCGCTGAATAAATTTGGGGGGCTAATGAGGAAGGAAGCTTTGTGAAGACCTGGAAAAGGGCACCTCTTCCTCTTCTTCTCCTCTGAGAAAAAGAGGGGGGAAAAGTCGCTGTGGTCAATTTTATTAACTTGGCTGACCTTCACACAAACAATTAACATTTACAGAAAACGCAGCCCCTCCCATTATCTTCCTCATCTCCATCTTAATCTTCAACCTCACCATCAGCAGTATCACTTCTTTTTTTTTCTTTTTTTCCCGCTGCTTCCTCAAAGGAAATTTATCTTGCAGTAGCAAATTAGTGGCAAACCCGTTGCATGTATTTTATAGACAGTTGCAAGGTGATGTGGATTATACAGTAGAAGGTCGGTTATCTGAAGGTTCCTGACATGTTCAGTAATTGGCTAAGGGCCACTACTCTCACAGCAAAGAACCAACAGTGAGCAGTGATTATGTGACCTTATCTACTCACTTTTCTGAGACAATCATCAAACCTCTGTGCTTTCTGAGTGAAACCTGGTCTAATAAAGATAAATTTACATGATCACAATGATTTGCTTTGACGGTTTTCCATGACATCTGCGTCCATTTCCAGATGTGTGGAAAACATTACATGCTCCTCCATGACACTAGAAATGTGAACACAGAGGCACAAGTTCGCATATAACTTTAACCTTTTTACCGTCTGTATGAACAAAGAGCATATTCTGTTAAAAAAAGAAAGAAAAAGAAGAAGATATATTTAACCATGAACTACCTGGTTAGGTTGAAGAGGAACACACTCTTTGCTTGTGTGAACTCCTTTCTCCTCCTGCTATGTAATACAAGCTGTCATCCTTGTCTGTGAGGTGATTTTTATCCTGACGTGGACAGAAACTGAGATTTGCATTAACAGTAGCTCCCTCTGTGTGTGTGTGTGTGTGCGTGTGTGTCTGTGTTTGTGTGTGCTCCTCCATTTGTAGAACCTGATAAAGAACCTGCCGGAGCAGAAAGAGCTGAGCGCGCTGGCGGAACTAAAGGGTGAATATGAAGAGCTTGTGGAGTCGGAGCAGTTTGGCATTGTGGTGAGTATAGTTTACTGGTGCCTACAGGAGTCCCACAAGACAACACACAGTATACACAATCACACTCCCTGTTGTAGTTCAAACACTTACAAGCATGCACAATTAAGAAATTCAATTTCTCTTGACTTTTGGGGGGAACTGCTCGATTTGGGCAGTAGTACAACTTGGACATGGGGGTACTTTAAACTGATGCTTCCCCAAGGGTTTCAGTAGCGTTTAATTTAAACATCTAACCGCACAAAGGGCATATTTAATTACAACAAAGTCAATTTGGTAACCCGACTTTCAAAGGACAGAGGCCATGGTATGAAAAAAAAGTATTTTTGACTTGATCAAGAACCATATTTTGACATCAGCTGTCAATGTTGTCTCATGATAAAATCATACCCTAAGGCTATAAATCCTGTCTGTAATAAAGTTCTCTGAAAAGTATGCAGCTGTAGTCAGCTGCTGTGGTGATGTATCCCAATCCTCTAATCAATTTACCACAAACAGCAAAAGTTCTGTTTTTTGCAGTAGTAAGATAAATAGTGCTGTAGGTAACATATCATATATTTGGATTATAACTTCCAGACAACAGTATTTCTTTTCACTCATCGGATTTTCTTGATTGAGTATGTAAATTGTTCGGGCTCATTCTGTGAAGCTTTCACCAAGATGTTTCGCCCGCATCATCAACCTGTTTTTATTTTTCCGGGCAACCTTGGAGTTTCGCATGCACCGGCAACTTTGCCTGCTGCCTTTTCACATTAGCCTATGTTCTTGTGAGGATTAGACCTTGCTGATGACCGAAAAGGCAGGGTTGAATAGTTGTACTGTAAATCTGTTGTAGAAGAAGGGGAGTACATCATCAAGCTGCTCTGACCTTTCCACTTAGTTACAGCTGTAATTACTTTTTAATTAACTGCTCTTGCCATCCATTTACCAAGTGAATACCCAGCACTTAAGGCAACAGTTAAAGAAAGTGTTATCTTTAAAGTTAACTTTACAACAAGATCATAGAGGTACATTATGCAGTTTTACAAAAGACATGTTCGGGTAGACCCAAGGGTCGCCAATGTGCTCGGTAAACGCTAGTTATTCTCATCACTTGTTGAAGACGTTTTACCTGCGTCTTTTAGAAGATGTAATGAAGCAGGGGGAGGAAGCTTCCCCTCGTGATCTCGCCAATGTTGTGATCATATACCTCCCTGCTGATGAAGTAGCTCCTCATTGCAGAGATATTTAGTTCCCCTGGGAAATAAGCCATGTTCAAGCTTTTCTCTGCCAGAGCTGTCACCAGTGTGCTCGCTTTCACTGTGATTCCTACTCATTGTATACAAATCAATTCAAGTGAGAAAGAAAGGGGAGGAGTGTGTGCACTTCGTTGAGTTTGTGTGTTGCGTGTGCACAAGGTGGGACTGTGGCTGTGTGAGTGTTGCCACATGTCATGTTTGTGTTAATTATTGTCCATCTCCGTAGCTATTTTTTCTTGATTCCTTTTTTTTTTGTTAAATGTTTTTTTTTGCTTCAGTCATTCCACTCCAAAGCCCACAAGTATTGATTGGGGCTGTTTTATTATTTATCACAAATCTGTTTAATGGGAGATTCCTTTATTCATATTAAAGTCAGGAGGGACATGGGAAATGGGTAAATCCCATTTGCTAAAGAGGGTGGTTGATTTTCAGTTTATTAGTGGCAGCAGTGATTACGCTAGAGATTCAACATGACGGCAATGGCAAGTCGGTATAAGGTCTTCGACTTTCTTTGTTTGTCTTTGCTTGCTCACCCTATTAGCAGTTATTGTATCACGTCAGGAAGTAATTGTCAAATGTCCCTGAAATCATGAGCAGCAACATTCTTAGTTGAGAACCCTAATAGCTACATTTTCAAAGCCTTTTGTGCCTTAATGCAAATAAGACATATCATTTCTGTTCATAGATAGATGTTCATTATTTGTCTGATAAAAACTGCGTCTTGTAAGTGCAGTTTGCCTGTCAAGTGGGCCACAGATTGCTCTTAATCATGTGTTTTTCAGGGTGGATCACACAAATAATGAGCTCATATAGTTTATGTATGGGGGCTCTTACTACTGAGTGTCAGAGTAGCACTGCAAAATTGTGGGCCTCTCAAGATGTGTACATTGTGAAATATTGACATCGGAAGAAATAAGAGAAAAATATATCATTGGCTATATTTAAAAAAAAAAAAAAAACAGAAACTTTGTGCTTTTTCTTGCATTGTTCAGAATATTTTTTTTAAATCATTTTTGAATAATTTTTTTCATAGTTGCGTTATGAAAAAACAAATAATAAAAATATTTTTTATTAAATTTCAATCTACTGCAACAGTGAGAAAGACATAATATATCAAGCATCGCTCTCAAGAGTGACAGCTTATTTACAGTATGACAGCGAACACGAAACTGTTTTTGCATTGGTCGGTTATGCGAAGTAAGTTTTCCATGCCATGTAAGAAATGCTGAGGCTTATTTGCAAAAGACTGGAGAAAGTGTGGAGTCTTTTCCTGTTGGGTTCTTCTGTAACAAACATGTGTCCCATCAGTGAAAGCAGAGCACATCTTTGGCTTCTCTGAAAATAAGTACATTGAGCATGGATAGATGATTAACTTATAAATAAATTCTAACTTTATGATAAACTTACAAAATAAATACATGAAGAAGGTTTAGTTGAGCTGCACACAGTTATTAAATAAAACAAATAAAAATGTACGCAGATGAAAAAATAATGTCAGACTTTTATTTGGCTAAATAATAACAGGCAACTGATTTTCACTAGACCTTGTTTGTTTTTATACAATGTAAAGTACTTACCATTGTTTCTTTTTTTTTTTATTATGATTTCTGCCTTCAGATGAGTTCAGTTAAACTCCTACGACCACGACTCAATGGCATTCTGTTTAAGCTGACGTTTGAGGAGCAGGTGAACAACATCCGACCAGACATCATGAATGTGACGTTCGCCTGTGAAGAAGTGAAGAAGAGTGACAGCTTCAGCAAACTCCTGGAGTTGATATTGCTGGTTGGCAATTACATGAATGCCGGCTCAAGGAACGCCCAGACGTTCGGCTTCAACGTCAGCTTTCTTTGCAAGGTGATGCACAGCTACAGCACAGACGTAAAGCATGTTCACAAAATGTCGAAATGTCAATTGGCTCGACTCATCATTGTTAATTTTACTTCACATTTCAAAGGTACAACACACTGGTTTCGGATATATTTTGATTTAGTCAACTCTGTTTTGATCTAATTTGAGATTAAGCGACAATCAAATAAAATAGTTTCAATAAAACAAATATTAGGAAGTGTGGAACTACCGTGAAGACAGAATCTGTGTTCACTGCCAGATAAAATCACAGCATGCAAAGGTGTGAAAAAGAAGACTGGCAGCCATGCACACACAACTATACAAAGCACAACAAAGCTGTCAGCTCCCGCACAAAGCGAGGGTTAGTCAGGTTACAATGAAAACAAGGTTTTTTGCTTTGATTTTGAAATGATACCGCAAGAGGAAGGTGACTCGAAAAGAAAGAAATTATAGTAGGAACATTGTTATTGTTTGTTATTTATCTACATAAATCAGTATAACATGACATGTTTTTTTTTTCAAATTTTATTTTTGTCTATGGATGTTGCATTTTTTTTTTAACAGAATTTTCTACGTCAAAAAAAGCTTTATTTGAACCGAACCTTTACAAGGCTACAACTGATGTCTTATACAGACATAGGAACTGGAGTACTAACCAAACTAACCAGTGTTATAATTTTCTAAGAAATTAGACTTTCTGAAATTTTCTGAACTATGTCAAACAGAATTCTATAAATGCATTGGGTTCAAGTTGTAGAAAATACACTAAAATGTTTAAGAATTTATAGCACTATATAGAAACAGTAAATGGGCTAAAAGCACCTCTTCAGGAAAAGTCCTCTGAAATGTGCAGACATGCACAAACCCTTTGTTGTCATTTCCATTTTTGCACTGTGACGCTGTGCAGCATATACAACAATCTAGTATTTAGTATGTTATTGGAGGATGCTGAATCAGGGGCAAACCCTCCTCCCTGTGCTGCATCTGGTTCTCAATGTTGGTGTGTCTTTTATTTCTCAAACTATCAGCTGTTCTGTAGAAGCGCTACAGCTGTTGCATAAATGGAGGGAAACCAAAGCTGATCTATCCGGAATGATTGTTTCAAATGAATCTGTCGTGGCACGTGAAAGCATTCAGCGTAGGATTTTTCCATATGAGAGAACTACGTGTGAATTCCAGAAGCCACCACCTTCCAGGCATATTTATGTGGGAAAGGCTTTACTCTGGTAAATGTAGTGTACCTTTGGTATTCCAGCAAGCTGACTGAATCAGTGTGGAGTGTCAGTATAGAGCCTGGTAACGCCTCAGGGGGCTGATTGGACCATTATTGATGGACAAGGAAAAAAGTCTGCTTTCTCACTTTAGTCAATCAAGTAAATGGCCCCCTGGGTGGCAGGTCTGGGGTACCTAATGGGCTCATCAGGGAGGAGGTTGATGATGGGAATGAGCAGCAAGGAGAAGAGCCCAGGCTGACCCACCTTCGCCTTCCACCTTGAGCCCTCCACTACAACCTCTTGTCCTGTCAAGGACACACAAATCTCCTGGGAGCCTGGTCACATATATCCAGCAGACTGAGCTGGCACTCTCACAAGGACATTAGTGAAATGTGGATTCCATGTCACTATATTATAGTTTAGTTTCAAAAATATCTGCGCAAATGACATTATTGGAAAGTTTTTACCTGTTTTTCAAATACCTTTACTGCAAAAACGTCCTAAGAAATATGTGTGATAATAAAGAGCACAGAATAAGAGACTGTTACGATAGTTAAACTATTTTGGTAAATCCCAAAATCCACAGATGACCCAAAATAAAGATTGCATATCTTGTCCTTGCCAAGGAAAGAAACCAGCTTACCAGCCTTCCTTAATAATTAAGCACCACATGGAAATGATTCATGTTCCATTTAAGTTGAACAGAACAGGCTGTCTGTCTATGAGGTGCTTGACTGGGTAACGAGGACTCATCTACCCAACGCTAGTGTGACCTTGTGTACAAAATGTAACGATTTCCACATCTGAAATTATTGTTACAATTACCAGTGGCATTATGCACTTCATGCCCACATCGTATGTGCTAGCATCGATACGTAAGTGTCTGTCTTCACAGAGCTTATTGTCAGCAGTGGCCTTGTATGCTTTTATATGTAAACACTCCATTTACTTTTGTTCTGCCTTTATTATGATTTTGTATGATATGAAGTTTTTTTTTTCACCACCTATGCAATCTGTTTGTCTTTTGCCGCTGCGCCATCTGCAAAAGTTAAATTGAACAATCAAGGGCCGACATTTCTCCTGTTAATGTGATGCTGCTGTATTCCCATCGCCACTTCTTCTGTTCTTACTAAATTATTGTTTTATTTATTTATTTAGCTCTGATGTAGATGTTTAAATGGAAACTTGTTTACTCGTAATATATCTTGCCACTCTACATTCAGATGTATAATAATGCATTGTGCTAACTAGTGAGGGATTTCAAATAATGCTACCTCAAGGCAATTTATGTTACGAGAGATTGAATGATACCACTGTTTAGAATTTGCTTTCAGCAACACAGTAATGAAACATTGTTTTTCCATCTACTTCAAATGAACAGATTTGTTTGAAGTAGTAACATTTATGCACACTCCATTCAGTCGCCTCATTAAAACATAATGGGATAAGACACATTGTAAGTAGCTTCTGTAAAAAAAACAAAAAAAACCCAGATATGAGGCATTTTATACGGGTAGTTTAAAAAAAACAAAACAAAACAAGATCTGAGGTAAAACTTAAGGTAGCGTAAGCTGTTCAAGGAGAACATTCCTAAGCTCAAGAGCACTGACGGTGAAGGTCCTTTCACTTTTAGCACAAACTTTAAAATGGCTAGGACAAGTGATGGACTAAGATTAAAATGGTTTTGGACTTTGACATAGACGAGCTCATTGCAACCTGTGCCCTCACACTCCACAGCCCTTGGCACAGTTCTCACGATACCTCAAAGCTGCATGACTGAAATTCTTGATGTAAAATAGTGTGAAACTTAACATCAGCACCTTGGGTTTTATGTGGATTCAGTGTGTCCTTACAGAGGCCCTCGACAGGATGTGTTACTCCTACCAATGAGGCCCGTTTGAAATACTGGCAGTTAGCTGCTGCTATGTGCACTAATGTCCTTGTAATTTATCTGTTCATCTCCTCAAATGTATTGACTATTGACCCAAATTTGTTTTTCGTACAGTCGCAGACATTATGTCATTTAAATTGTACACATTCAATTAAATGCGCAGGTTTAGAGGGAGAAGGTGGAGAGGTCCATTTATGAATGAGCGGCCCCACATGCTCTGTGGACTTTGTCCAGTTTTATTATGTCAGGATTATTCACCTCACAATGCTAATATGCTTCCAGTTTCATCAGATAATTGTAATGGCTGCCCTATTATGTGAAGCCACATGGCCTCTCCATTTACACCCACTGCACCTAATGAAACCCCAGAATGCCCATCCTCTTCCCCTGCATGGCCACAAGATTAGTTCAGGTTAAAGATTCCACTCTAAATTATTAGCACATTTTGTCAGGGAGAATGTACTCCAATCTAGAGATGCAGTGTTAACTCTACCACTGTACCACATCATTTAAAATGATTGTTTCAGGAAATGTCCTGTTTACTTATTTTTTTTAACATTCACAAATAAACCTATTTTTTTCAGTTTGTTTTTTTCTCTCTCCCCCTCTCTTTATTACATATTACCAATATTAGTCAGCAGATGGAATCAGTATGCCAGAGATGCACTTTTTTCGTGCAGTAATGACAGTTTGGGGTGTAGCAATAAACAATTAAAATTTAAAATCCATGAAATTAAATTGTAGTTACACAACGTGAGAAAATGATTGATCCTCATCTAATAAAAGCATGTGTGCGTTTTGGGGTGGGTGTGTGACGGCGCGCCTCTGACTGCTTATAATTGTGTCAGTTCGCCTTTGCCTAAATGTGTGTGCGTGAGCAAGTGCTTGCATGCCTACATGTGTGAGTATGTCCAACTGCAGACTGTTTACAGCACAGATATTATCAGTATGAGTACACAGAGGTGGGTTGTGCTAATTAGCTTTCCCAGCATGCCATTCGAACAGCATGGCAATCACGGTGGGGAATGAATATGGAACAAGTTTTCTATGCACTGATGTGAAGAATCCCAGCTTCGCTGTATGAACACAGACACATACACACACACGCGCGCACACACACGTACTTGGCAAAGACAGTGCAGTGCTTTCATTCAAACTTTCCTGCCTCACTGCTTTATTCTCAGGGCTGTGGTGTCATTATGTGTATACCTCTACCATGTATGCATATTGGTGTGTGTTCATCTGTTTTTGTATAGTCATCAGTAATTGGCTGTGGCCATTTGTAAGGTCTCTCTTTTTTTAATATCATCCTCTCGCAGAGTTTTCTAAAAACATTTGGATGCTGAGTTCACCTTGTTAAGAATTGATTTTCCCCGTTGAATGTACAACATCAGTCCTCAGAGTAGCCCTTTTTTTTTTCTCTTTTTTTCCAGGGCTGACGACTACTTAATCAGATGCGCTATACACTGGGTTCAGGTTGAAAGGTAGCAGTAGCACAGCATCTAAAAGGAATATTACTGCTCTGAAAACATAAAAGGATGTGCACTTACATACAGCTGTTGTTGCTTTTGGAAGTAGCGTATCAGCCATTATCTTTATACTGCAGGAGTCTGCACTGAGGTTAAATCATCAACATTTTGAGACAATATAGCAAAAATGTCACAAGCAAAATGGTGATTAACCCTTTGGGGGAGATGGTGTAAAACTGTTAGTTAATCAAGGTGTTTTGTTTTTCTCTTTTTTTTTTCTTTTTAGCTCCGAGACACTAAATCCATCGGTCATAATACGACACTTCTTCATTTCCTGGCTGAGAAGTGTGAAGAGACTTATCCAGAGATTTTGAGGTTTCCAGATGAACTGGAGCACGTGGAGAACGCCAGCAAAGGTACGTCTCTCTGCCTGTGTGTATCGAGACTGTCCAGTCACATACAGTAACACCCAGAGTGGTACTACTAATCTGGGGAAGGCTAACGTCGTCACTGTGCTGCTACCAGAAGATAAACCTGAATGGAGTGAACTGTCTAACTCTGTATCATATTCATTTATTTACTATAGGATATTTCACCACATTTAACCCCTTACTCATCCATTTCTTCCCTCGATGACAGCAAGCGCTCTTTCTTTGTGACAGGAATAGAGTTGTTTGTCCAACCATACTGTCATTCAGCCTGTCAATAAACTAATTCCACTTTAATTCTATTCTCAAGCATTTGGTGGAATCCCTGCAGGCTTATTTACTTTGTTAGTCTCGTAATTGGTTATTTAATCTAATTCAACTAATTATGCACTTGAGTGAGGCTGCCAGCCATTGTGTAAGTGGACTGAATAGTCTTCACGCTTTGTATATATTAAGATGTCTATATGCACACATTTTGAATTATATCAACTTTGTCATTTCATGGAAATGAATTATTCAAGCAGAAGCCCGTTAATTGACTGAGACCGGTAAATAAATGCCGCTTTCAAAAACCCTCAGGAAGTATTTAAGGAGTAGGGATGCAAAAAGCAGTTTACTCTGGGCACACCACACTTACACAGTGCTGTTCTATTGATCGTCACATACACTTAAATTGGATTAAGTGGGTGATTTTCTTTGTACATGTTGAGACATCAAAGGTGCTGACATGACTACAGGTGTTTGGAGTTGATATAGATGACTCAGAATGTATTCCTTTTTTTTGCCATTCTCATATTTTCAGTGCTGTTTCTTTGTCTGTCAGTGAGATTATGTAAAAACTACCAGGCCTGGTTTGATGAAACTTGGTGGAGAGTCAGAGCATGGCTAAAGAAATAGCCAATTCAAATTTGGCAAAAATCAGAATTACTTACTTTGAGGCTGTGAGCGATGGAATGGGCTTTGGTGGATGACTGTGCTCTCCGAGTGCTGCTCTAGTTTCATATACTTTAGTGTCCCTAGCATGTTTAAGCTTTGGTAGTAAGACAGATCTATTTTATTTTGGGTAGTTTGTTTGTCTGTAAGTCCTTACATTCGTCCCATTATTGTTATGAACGCAGTATATTATGAACATTAAGACCTGATAAATGTGAGGCTTACAGCTTAATGTCGCTGTGACCTTGCAAACCCATTTTTTTTGCCATAACTAAAGAATTCCTACAATTGATATGACAAACTTTACACAAATATCTAATAGGAGAAAATGATAAAGTGATGAAATTTGATATCATAAAAAAGGTCAAAATGTGACACTGTGACATTAAAATGTTCTTGGGCGGAAAACCCCCCCAAAAGGAACAAGTTTCTGGATATTTTTTTAACATCACAACTCAGGAACATATTGTGACTGAATTGGTAACACTAATCTTGGGTTTCCCACCTTGAAACTGGCGTTTGTACACATCAGTTCTGTTGAAGATGTGTGGCGAAGCCTCCGTATTTTATTTGTGGCAACATTCATATCTAAATCACTGCCTGCTGTCACGGCTACAACATGTTCCATCAAAATCTGCTTTTTCTTTTCTTTCACTGTGTATGAGTCTGGACAGACATGGATGTAAACTCAGCGATCTGAGAGCATGTGCTTCTGTCTCTTTGGGAAACCTTTACTACCTCTAGAATGGTAGAGCATTGCTCAAGTGTTTACTACTATCTCGGAATCCTTTACAAGCTTTGGGTCTCCTTTCAGGTAAACTGGCAGAAACAAACGTTTAAAGCTGCTGTTTCACCTTAAACTGAATGCATTGTGCACTCTTAACAAGAAGTCAAGAGCTACTTATGCA